AGTTTGAGGGTATTTTTAGTCCAAAAATGAAAGTTCAGGGACTGAATCGGGGATATAACCTAAGGAAAACAGAGTATGCGTCTTTTTCTTTTTTTCCAATGCATACTGGAGAAAAAGAGTAGGATGCACTGCGTTGCAATCCGGGCCCCACTTGGCGGCGAAAACGGGTTGATGACTCAGCACACTTCAGGAACATAAGACTATAAGAGAGTATGCACATTTCAGGTTTCACCAAGCACTCTGCTAACTAGGATGGCAAGATTTGAGAAGAAATTAACGAGAACAGACGAAGGTTCCATGTTGGTAATCCCAACTCGTTTCGCCAGGAATCACATGCGACGGGTTGAAGGAGGCTCTGAAAATATAACAGTCGTGGATGTGGGTGGAAGAGTATGGAGGTTCGGCTACTACGTCCGACGTCACCGCAACCCACGTCCCGTTTTGAGATCGGGGTGGCGCCGCTATGTCCTCGAGAAAGGACTGAAAGTTGGAGACAAAATCATATTTGAGCGTGTGGATGGCTTCCCGGAGCGTTACAGGATTGGAGCAAGAAGAAGGATCAAGCTGTTCGGTCTGGAAGTGTGGACTGACGTATTCTAAAACGTTTCATGTGTATGTATGTATATTTGATTTCTAAGGATTAACGTTTTTACATTTGGTCGTGTGTTGTCTTTTCGCTATGTTGTTTTTGTTGGTCCACTTTGTTGTGTTGAATTTTACATTTGGTCGTGTGCTTTCTTTTCGCTATGTTGTTTTTGTTTTTTGAAAATAAGTAATGGAGCTATGTTGTTTTTGTTGTTCCATCTTCTTGTGTTGAATTTTGCACCACAAGAAAAAGCGACGTTTAGGGCCGAGTATGGTGAACGAGTTAGTTTTGCGTGTTCGCAATATTGAGAATTTTGATGATAATAGAAACGAGTTTGTTGTTCATCTAAAAATCTAAATTGGGGATGCCTTACCTTTATTTAATTTTTTGGGACAATAAATTTTTTTCCCTAAAACCGTTTTAAACAATATGAAATTTATAACCTTGTTTGGGGATAAATTAAAATTTGACGCTCCCAAAGTAAAATCCAGCCAAATCCCTTAAACATCCAAAATGGGTGTAACTAAAATGAGTTTTGATGAATAATGAAGTATGGTTCTTCCTCTCCTTCTCGACCTCTCTCTTCTTCTCTATTGTCTTCTTCATTCTATTTCCTGCTTCTCTTCTAAATTCTTTACTGAATCCCTAATTCTTCCTTTCTAATCTCCATTTCTGGTTTGGTTGCAATCAATTGGTATCAGAGCTTCTTTTCTCTTGATCTGTGGTACCAATTTCATCAAAATCCCCAAATTGCATTTCTATCGCCTCTGTCTATCCTGTAAACCCTACAAACCCGAATCAAGATTCATCAGTATAGAAGCCATGGCTGAAGATACAGATTTTCAAGAACTACAAAGAGAGTTCTCTGAATTCCGGAGAAAACATGATGCTGATTTTGCAAATTTGGAGGAGAGGTTGTCATCCATGGAGAATGCTCTAAGGACAGCCATAAGGAATGCTCTGAGGGAGGGGTTTTTCATGATACAAGCAATTAATGACGGATGGAACTCACCGGCACCGGAGGTCGGCCAAACATCCCAAACCCAGATTCATACAACTCAGGGCCAGATTCATGATCAAGATTGCAATGTAAGGGATTCTGGTACTTTTAATTCCGTATCTGATCTTGAAGGCATGACTGTAATTGGAGAAATCGAGTTGCCTTTGGTATCCACCCCGGTTCCTATTACCTAAAATTTGTGGTTTTCGTGTTTTGGTTACTATGATGAACATTCCATGAGTTGGGTGTTTAGAAATTGAGATTAAAAGGT